CACACACACACACACACACACACACACACACACACACACACACACACTATTTGTCCATGAAAACAAACAAAAAATGATCTAACTGAAGGTGAATGTTACTCAAATAGCCCCTTGTTGCTCCATGGGTTTATGTTTAACGCAAGACTAAGGAAAGGTCCACAAATCCAGATTTATTCCAACTTGACAATCATAAAGAAACCAAGCGATATGTCTATAGCATCTTAGCTAGCCAGTCTGTATTGTGCTCCACTAGATTAGCACTACATTAGTGCCAGAAGTTGTTGATGTGGGTGGGGGGTGGAGATGCCTGAAAGAAGTGAAGCATGTTCTATTCACACAAGGAGAGCTGTTGGTCAGGTTACTTCTTGTGCTGTGCTCTCTAAATTAGTTATTCAATCAAGTGTTTACTTATGTAGATAAACGTAAATGTTTAATAACCGTTAAAATACACCTGAATGCAGGAAATGGCATCTACTTTATTCAAAATGCTATGGGGGAGGACCCACAGACTCCCCCACCAGTGTCCCCCCCCACCCCCCACATTACAAATGCTTATGACACCAATGCAACCCTTTGGGGGCTGAGATGGGGTAGAGGCAGGGCAGCCAACCTGGGACCTGAAAGTCCCAGGTTCGATCCCCATCCATTCCCACATGTCATGGTGTCTCTGAACAAGACACCCAATCCCTGATTGCTCCCCGGGTGCTTACATAGCTGCCCACTGCACCACCTGGGTGTGATGGGTTAAATGCAAAGAACTAGTAATTTCATCATTTTGTGGGAACATACAATGATGACAACACACAGCGCTTATCTTACTTACTTACCCAATGATTGTTTTCTGAAAGTTTCAGTAACAAGGTAGATTTATTTATTTTTATTTAGTAACCAACTTTAAAACAGCATAAAGCTCAAAAATCCTGTTGTTTTTAAAAGGGAGTCAAGTGTGGAGCAGTGGAAGGACCACAAGAAGGAAACTGTTCTTTGGTGAAAACTGAAGCCACGGTGACGAGCAGGAAGAGAGCCGATACTTCAACAATCAAAACCAGGTGAGTCCAGCACTGAATTATGGGTAACATTAGAAAACATTACAATTTTGATATTACTATCCTGAGAAATGGATTAGTAATGGGTTAGAGAATGTTCAAATGAATATTCTATATATTCTGTATATATGAATGTCTTGTATTTAATGACAAACATCCTTAGTTGATTGTAAATTTGTCTGACACAGACTCATTCTGAAAAGTGAATGGTTACTTTGATAACTGGCTGAATTTGTTCGTCTCAGCCAGGAGGAGGTTGTGAGGAGGGGGGTGTATTCTCCCCAGGATCTGTACACCTTCCCAGACACTCGAGTGGGCGAGTCCAGCACTCTGAAGGTCAACGTCCGTAATAGCTCCTCAGACACGCATGAGGTGAGCCATCCCTTCATCTCGTCATGGTGGAGAGTCTTTTTTATTTTTCTGCTTATCGCAGCAAAGTCTAATATTGTCGTGTCAAGAAGAGAGAAACTGTCAAAGTCGAGGAAGGAAATCTATTCCAAGCGTGTTCATGCTTGGTGTTCTCTGTGGACATCTTGTTGTGCCAGACTGTCGGTGGGTTCAGATAGTTCAACAGTAAAAACTCTAGTTCATCTTGTTTAACTTTGTGTTGCAAAATGTAAATAGCATGACTAACCTGGAATATTCATGCTGAATGATAACCACCAACGTGCATGGATTTGATTTTTGATGTGTGGCTTCTTTAATTGACTTGCAGCTGAAATTTGCAAAACCCAAGGAGCCCTTCTACATGAAGCATTTCCAATATTCCCTGAGGTGAGTCCAATAGTTATTCCTAACAAGCTTTTTAATAAGCTCTTTGTATTTTAGCCTGATTCCTTTTGGGAACAAGGGTTTTAAACTTTAACGCAGTTAATGTATTTATTTATTATTGTTTTGAAGTAGCTATGTCCTGAGGCTTTTTGATTTGACTACAAAATTGTGTAATTTAATTTTCCCATTGCACATGCTCTCTGGAGGAACTGTGAGATGCTGCGACTTGGTCGGTAATATTTCTGAATACAGAACTCACTCGAGGCTGAGAGGGTTCCAGCTGGTTGACCTCTCAGAGGACTGCCTGGCCCAGGTACCAGCTGTGTTGTGCAGAGCTGATAAGGGACTGTGTGCAGAACGGGCTAATGCTGGCCTTATTGTACAGTGAGAGGAAAGTCTTTGGGTACCACATGACATCGTGTTAGTGTAGGCCTGTCGCGATAAACAATAAACCAATTAATCGCATGATAAATGAAAATTATCCATCTCATTTTCATTTATCGGCTTCATCGTTTCTTCATGTCTCTCTCTTTCTACTGAAGACACTGGATGACAAAAGGCTAAACTCTGGTGCTCTTCACTGACCCCTCCCTTTCTCTTTTCTCTTTAAAATCCATTTGAGCCATTCAAAATCGTGTTTTTGGATCGTTAAAAGCAGCTAAGCTGAGGAGCTAAGCTAACAGGCCGACCTCAGGGAAAAACCTCCATCATATCAAAGCTCCAAAATTCACAGTTGAAACTCGTGCCTTCATGTAAAAAGTTTTTCTCTGCAAAAAGAAGCAGAGAACTTGTTTTTTTTTGTTTTTTTTTATTAAAAGCTTTGTGTGAAAAATGCTCTGCTAAAGAGCTCAAACCTCACCGAGCGTCCGCCATTTTGAGAACCAATAAAAGGAAGGAGAGATGGCCCATGTCACGTCAAGGGGCCTCCCTCCCATTTTTCTTAGACATGTTGCTGCTCCCTCACTATCCATCCTTTGGTTCAAACAGTCTTATACTGCCATCCAGTGGTCAAAAAAGGTACTACATCCAAAACAAATTACCATAATTGTCTGACTAAAAAAACGCGCCTGTGTCTAAGCCACACATATTAAATTAAAGATGAATCATAATTTTTTACACAAGACACCCCGGCTATTAAACCGCAAGCATCCACTGTTCAGTAAATAAAAGTGTGCCCAGCTCCATTAGTGCTGTTTATTGTTGTGGTACAAGAATCAGTCACTTGATGGTGTTCACAGACCAGGGCTTGCTTTTAGCATACACAGACTGAACGATGATCACGAGTATACATAGAGCTTGGCTGTATGACTCATGGTTACAACCACTATACCTTCAAAATTAACACAATAACCATCTAACATCCTGATGCATGCTCAACCATCTAATAACCATCTAAGCATAATCACTGGACAGAACAGGAAATATTACCCAGAAATCTTAAGGAGGTCATGTAACCGGAAGTGAAATAGTATGGATAAAATGTGGTAAATATACATTAAATTACTGGTAGTACCACTGATTTTTATTTTTAAACATATTGGTATCAGCTGCTGTTTTTAAATCTACTTTCTAAAATATTTTAAATAAACATGACGGGATTTCTCTTCAGCGCTAATATGGACAGGAGAGGAAGTAATGGGGAACAGCCCCTTGTTTCCATCACTGTTTCATGCGTGAGATGAGCTTAAATGAGATACTGGTATTTAAACACATTGACCATAGACAAAAAAAATTTTAGACTTTAATTTAAATATGCACCAGTCTTGACTGACTGACTGCTTTAAAAATAAATCTGACAACTCTTCCACTGAGCTCACGTGAGGGGGGAGGAAGTGGGAACAGCCCCTCTGGTTCGTTGTCTCCGCTCCATTTAATGTTCAGATGTGAGCTTAAAATGAGATCTCTGTATTTAAACACACGTGTACTGTACACAGAATGATGTCACACCGTAATAATTTTAAAACTTTTATTAAAATATGAACAGGCTTGACTGCTTAGACTCCTTCCGCTCAGCAGAGCCCACGTCGTGACCAAGGGGAGGGGGGACAGCTTTAACACGGCTATAAAAATAAAAAATCACAGCTGGTCGACCAGAGTCACTCATGGCTCTGTTCTCCGTCCTCCTGTGCACTGAAACCATGAAAGTCCTCTTCAGTGTCAGAATTGAAGAGGCTGACAAAGACGTTATCACGCACACTGGCTCCTTGCCGCTCTCGACGTCACTCCCTCGTGCTGTCGGCATCATCCCGCAGCAGTCCAGCCAAAGTCTGTGCACGAGGCATAAAATACAGTAACTGATCTGAAGACCTTAGTGCTTTTTTTAACCTTTGCTTCCTGTAAACAGGAAGCCTCATTAATGCACGTGCACCTTGGAGGGTGGGTCAATGGCGGTATCTCATTGGTCATTCAGGTTAGTCTTCTGGTCACATGATGACGGAGTGGGTGGAGTTATGGTAGGAATTTGAAACTGTGAGCAAGAGTCGTTGTACATCTGGATACCTGAGGGCATTCTCTCTGTCACAAACACCTGCCCCATGAGGGGCGGGGTGCTGGGAGCCACGTCCAGCTCTGTCAAAGAAAAATGTTAGTTAGTGGCAGGAAGCTACCAAGAGATGGCAAGAAGTCTTTCAAAATAAAATAAAAAATATATAAATTTTGAAGAACATGCATAAATTAGATGCTCCTTCATATAAACCACGTAACGGCTTATACAAAGACAATTACGGTAACAAACAGTTCTTAAATTTGACAATAATTACTAATTATTGTCAAATTTCAAACAATATTATCGTTTATCGCAATAATTTCTGAGACAATCGCCCAGCAAAATTTATCGTGACAGGCCTGTGTTAGTGGAATTATGGAATATTTTTTCTGTCTGAGGACTTAACCAGTTTCACCAAGTGAACCAGCCCCAGTCCCTATAGTGTGACCTCTGCTCTGTGTGGACGTGCACGTGTTGCTCCCAGCATGTTGCGGCTTTTAGCAGAGTATCTGCAGATTTCTGATGGTCTTCCAAATCTCAGTGTTTTTATTTACCAAGTCCAGGGTTTTGTAAAGAAGCAGTGTGTTGCTGAAAGTAGCAGCGCGCTGGAATTGGCTCTGTTGCCTCAGAAAGAAGGTCCTGGGTTCAGGTCTCAGCTGGAACTGTGTGCATGAAGTCTGCATGTTGTGCATGTGTGGGTGTTCTCCCGTTTCCTTCCACAGACCAAAGACGTGCATGTTGGCTTAATAGAATGTAGTAAATGTTCCTTTAGGTATGCACTGGTGTGAGCCTGCATTGTTGTTTGTTTGTGTGCCCTCTGGTGGACTGCAGACCTGCTCAGGGTGTTCCTGCTGGAGACAGGCTCCGCCTTTCTGCGTCCCAACAGCTTCAGAGGTATCAAAAATAGATGGCTACATGGATGTTGTTAAAAAGCAGCAGGGGGATCTCTGTAAATGTTGCCGCTGTGGCTGCCTGGGAGGAGTCGACGGTTTGGGTGACTTGCACAATTTCCTGAGCTGGATCTAAGCCTGCATCATTAAAGGGCACAGTCCGCAGGGAGCCCACAGGTGAACACGTTGAGATCTGCAACCAGCACCTTCTTGCTGCGAGGCAACATCTATCAAAGCCACTGTGTTAGAAAAATACTTTTAATTGATGGTCACAAGAAGAAAATGATGTATACTTTGGAAAAAATGGAATCAAATATAGTTTTTGTTTGTAATTTAATGAATAATGGTTATAATAATGCTAGTTTTACTTTAATCAATTAATATTTCAAGCTCTAAGTCCTGTTATATGTCGATTATACCATTCATCAAAATAAAACCTGTATGTTTTTCAGTGTAGTGTTCAGTTTTTTCCTGTAAATGTTGCAGTTTCACACATCACTAACGTTGTGAGTGGTGCAGAAAGCTGACTGTTCTCTCAGGTCCCTGCATGTGCATAAAAACTGAACTGTGCATTCATTGTTCATTGTTGACGTTCACTACGTGAAGTCCTCCATGTGCTTGTCATGTTGTATGTCTGAGACCACTGATTACTAGACAACAAACTGTCGTCTCATTTGTTAGATCTCAGCATTACGTGAAGCTTCCTGTCCAGTTCAAGCCCTCTGCAGCCGGCAGCCATACTGGCTTCCTGCTCGTCCAGTCAGGAACAAGTGGAAGCCTCGTTGTTCAGCTGAGTGGTGAGGCCCTGCCCTGAGTTCTCCATCCTGTGTCCCGCCCGCCGCCTCAAGCTCTTTCTTCAGCTCTTCATGTGACGGAGAAGACGAAGGCTGAACCACAAACTGCTCAAAATAAAAGAAGCAACTTTGGGTTTCTGCTTCCTGATTCATAAGCGTGGGCCCAGCTGTGAACTGGAGAAGGCTCTGCTGTCCTCGGAGTGGTTCCTGAAACTGAATGATCAGAATCTGGACTCAGAATGAGTCTGAACCACTTCAGCTTTTAGTCCCTTGACTTTTCATGTGGTATTTATTTGATCTTTGTAGTCGTGTCACAACGCAGCTGTATTCTTGCTACAGCTCTGATTTTAGAAGTGACTGTAGTTTTTTTATTTTTTAATTTTTGATTAGAACTGTCCTTGTTTCCTCATGTATTGCCTTTTCCCTGGTGTCACACATGCTGGAAATCTGACAATGTTTTTTCTCCAAATCGGCTGAAATCTTCTCTCCCATGAATGTATGAAACAACAGAAGCTTAATGGATCCTTGTTTTTGAGTCGTGACATTTTGAAACCCGTCTGCCAACGAACATTTCATGAGACTTTCCTACTGTTTGTGCTGGTGTGGTTTCTATGGAGATGAGCCCACCAGCTCTGCAGCCTTTATCAGCACCATGTGCTGCCACCCAGCAGCCTCTGATCCCAACGCTCCAGATGTGCCTCATTTAGTCGTGTTCAGGGCAGCTCGCCGTGACACTGGCACGCTTCATGATTGTGATTATCTGCAGTTTCCTCTGGGGTTTTGTTCAGCAGCTCTCCAGGTATGCTTGTTTCCGTTGCCATGGTGAAACGCTGTTCGTCACTGTTCCAGCAACAGAAAATCTGCCCCACGTTTCCTGTTTTGGCTCTAAGCTCAGTCACTAAATGATTTTGAGGTTTTATTTTGATATTCTGTAACAAGTTTTGGAGCTTTGTCTCATGGAAACATGCAAACTTCATGATGGCACAGTGAAGTCAGCTTGAACACTACATGTGAAGGGAGCATCTCCTCAAAGCTCGTAACCATCTGGAGATGCGTTTGTAATTTATTGTATGTTCACTTTTTAAATAAAGTTTTGTAATGACTCACTTTTTTAACCATCATTGTAGAAAGTAGTTATGTTGATCTCCTTGTATCTGAAATATTTTTATATTCATCCATTCAGCTTTCTACACCTGAGGGGTCGGAAACAAGTTTTTATTTTTATTCTATTTCAAGACGGCCCTTTGGGTTGATGAGGTTAATGATTCAAGCACCGTGCTGTGTGATGGAAGACGAACGAGTCGGAGCCTCCGCTGCAGCTGGCTGACCTGAACAGGAGGCTGAAGACCGTTCAGACTGGCCATGCACGCTTAAGTTCCACTCAATCCACTTTAGGTATTTAGCTTGACATTAAATAAATTTTTAGGACATTAAAAGTTTTTTTTTTAAGTGCATGAAATAAAAGGAATCATTGTCTCTCAAGATCTATAAACTAAGAAACTCAAAATAATAATTTCCTGTTTGAAAAGGAGTAGATGAAAGTAAATGAATTCCTAACCATATTTAAATTTAACTTGTCATTAAATATAATTATCAATATTCAGTGCACAGCACAACTGATGGTGTCTACTTAAATATTACACCCATGGTTGGTTTATAGTTGTCATAATAAAATGGATTTTTTTTACAAAAACTACAAAACTTCTGTGTGAAAATGAAATGAACTTTTACAGAGTAATACCCTTTAAATAAGAACATGTAATGTAAAATAAGTGACTAAATATTCACCCGTTCAAAGTGATTGTCCTAATTCAACTTCGAGAAAGCTGATTGTAAAGTACAGGTCAGGAGGGATTGAAGATTTAAGGCCCTAAACACTCAGGAGTTCTGTTGAATCCATCAAGAAGAGAAAGAGGCAACGTGTACATCTACCAGGAGCAGGCCGTCTTGACAGACTGTACGATGGAGAACAGTGGGAGACCACGGACACCTGGGACCTCTGCAGGAGGTCAGAGCATACAACACCTGCTGCCAGAGTTTCTCTCCAGTTTAAATTTGATGTGAGAGCGGCAAAGAGAAAGTCTCTATTGAAGTAAATGCATATTACATCTCTACCAGTGTTTAGACTGGGGTGATAAAATCGTAACTGGTTGCAACTACCGTACCCATCACTGCACTCTGTACTCATTGTTGTCATTATCTACACGCAGACTCTGTCACTGGTTCATCTTCATCTATAAATCACTCCTTGGTCTGCTGCCTTCTTATATTCTCCCACATGTCGTCAGTGCAGTTACAGCGTGTGCTCTCAGGACATCATTACCTGCAGCGTCCTGTCAGTGCAGACTGAACTCGACAAAAAGTCCTCTTACACTGCTCCTGCAACCTGGAACACGTTGCAACAGGAACTGAAGTTGTCTACTTTGATTTCTTTAAGGGATTTTAAACATTTGATAAGGTTAATTAAAAAAATCAAAGCAAATATGTTCTTGTTTTTAGTATTTCACCCTGTTTTACTGTATATGACAGATCAAGAATCACATGTTAATAGTATCAAATGAAAACTATTCAATTTTAGCAAATCATTTAAGGAAATGAGGTCAATTTGTTCTCCAGTAGTCCAAGCTTCAAGCAGCAGAACAAGCCAACCCTAAATCAGTTTCAATCCAGTTTATTTATACAGTGCCAAGTCACAACAGAAGTCATCTCAGGGCACTGAACAATTGATCAAAAACGAACCTGAAGACGTTTTGAAGAAGTTTTTGGACACCCAGATAATAAACCATTGCACCAGTCCAGGCGCTCAGGGAGCTCGGGCTGCAGTGCGGCAGACAGCCTGCAGGGGGCGCCAAAGTGCTTTTGCTCGTTAGTGAGCAGCGCGCGCTACAGTGACCAGCTGACACCGCTCATGTTGGACTGGACGTCTGTCAGCAGCATCACACACACGCGGCTCCGCCCCCGAGCAGCACTTCACGCAGGTAAGAAGCGTGAAGCTGCCACAGTGTTTGAGCAGGTCGCTGCGGGCGGACGGATGTTCTGGTTACAGCGCTGCTTCTTGTGGCTGTCCGGTGCTGGGTCTCGGTTCGGCCCAGACAGTGGAAGTTGTTGAAGCTGAGCCACCGCAGAGCTAAGCTAACCGAGCTAAATGTGCAGCAGGAGGTCCACGCGCCGGGGGGGCACGGCAGCAGTCTCTGCCTCCCCTCCTCCTCTGTGACCTCATCACCCTGAGCTGCATCCCTTCACGTCACATGAGCAAACTTCACGTGCAAATGATGCGCGCGCTGCAGCCGATGAAGCGCGGGTTAACCTGCACGGGATGGGCTCGTCCCTGCAGGGACACATTTAATGTTACAACACCTCCACCATCTTCTGCTGGGGCCTGGACTGATCTCTGCGTGACCCTGCTGGGTTCACATCAGGTCAGCTGCTGCTGTTGCGACATGAAAACCACTTTATCACATATTTGGTTTTCTCTCAGCATGTATCACATTGTGCACAACATCTAGAACAGTTTAAACCCTGGGTTGTTTTAGATTTTGAAACAGACTCTGGTCCTCAGCTGTCTGCATCTCATCAGTTTCTGCAAACCCACCAGGACTCATTGTTCTGAGATGTTTTTGTTCCTTCAAACCTTTCATCCATGCTGCTTTTTATAGCCCCGGTGTCTGGACGTATGCTTTGGAGTGGGCTGTGACTGGACGGGTCATAGTGTCAGAGGATTTGGACTGTGTCTTTGCGTGTGTGCTCCAGGTAATAAGGTTTGAAGCTCCCTGGGCTTGACAAAGAGCTCCTGTAAACTCAGATGTAATTCATGATCCTGCAGTGAAGAATGGATTCTCGTTAGTTCCCAGTGCTGGAGTCAGTTCAGTCATCCACCGGACCGTCTCAGAGATGACTTTGAAGAGGGAAGTCACTTGAGGTGACACAGTGTGAACAAGTGGCCGATGAGCTTTTCTTAACTGCAGCTGTCATTCATGGTAAATATGGTAAATGGAGCTTACTTCTATAGCGCCTTCCAGCCCCCTATGAGGGGCCCCAAGGCGCTTTACAGTACCAGCCATCCACCCATTCACACGCACATTCATACACCGGTGGCGGTAGGCTGCCATGCAAGGCGCCATCCAGTCCCACCGGGAGCAACTCGGGGTTAAGTGTCTTGCCCAGGGACACAACGGCACATGGTGTGGGAAGTCGGGATTCGAACCTCCAACCTTCCGATCAGAGGTCGGCTGCCACTACCACTGCACCACGGCCGCCCTCCACTGCACCACGGCCGCCCCATGGGATCACATGGAGCCCTGCTCACTTTTCTTATCGGTCTTTTGCAGACACGTGACTTATGCACTTCCGGTCGCCATATTGGGGGGTTACGCAGATACCGGTTCAGGTAAACAAAGTCCGTGGTAAACAGTGATAAGAACGATGACATCTGCAAAATGGAAAGTAAATATAAAAATGAGAAGAAGCCGTATAGAGATAAACTCAACGCTGAAGCCAGAGACCGTTATATGGCGAAGTTAACGTCAATTAACAACGTTGATCCATACGAGGTAGCAGCTAAGGCATGGACGTCCGAACCAGGGCTACTTCCACCAACAACAAATATGGACATTATTTGCTATCTTGTAAATGGTGTCAGTGCCTACACATTTGACGAATTTCGGAACTATAAGTCCTTGGAGGCTCATGGGCTGTTCACCAATGGTTGGGTGCAAGATTTATATTCATTTAAACCTGAAGGATGCACCAACACTGTGGTCACAGCAAAGGTAAAACACCCTAAACATAACATCTTAGTCATCTTAGTCAAAGTTATACACATGTTGTCACTTCACTGCTAGTTTAAAGACACAAGTTGGGTATGTGTGTATATACACACATATTAATTTATGTGAGTTTTGTGTGTCTGCATAAACATATACGTATATTACCTGTAATCCATACTTTAACTATAAATCCAAGCAAATACACATACATTTTCACAAATATGTGAGGTTAGAATAAGTGGAGGTTGTGTATC